TAAAAGTTCTTTTTGTAAGCTCTGGAGGCTATCTATACATGTCTGATTACAGAATCAAAGACAGATCTGCAAAAAGCATGATAATAAGGTATATTCAAGGTTATTGACAATGAAGCAGTTATTGAGACACTATTAGTCATGTTCCATGCAGATCCGTATCATGTGTTCACAACAAAGAGCAGATGAAATCAGATGGATTTCATTCATGTAGCAGTGCCTGTCAAACTGTCAAACACTGAAGCATAAGAAGAATGAATTCCATCTGAAGGAACAACTGGAACGCAACGTGTTTTTTATGTAAGGATGTACTTTTTACAGGACTGAAGATCTAGTGTAACTACACTAGTTCCATCACTTCTGGAAGGATGGAAATAATGCACAAAGAATATTCATTTGAGGACTGTCCTACATACTTACCATGAGTACATCACCACCTCCCAGAATCAATGGGATAGATTCTGCTTGAATATCTGTAGGAAGACTAGAGGAAAAAAAAGCAAACACATTAACATAACTAGAAGTTATTTGAAAACAATTTTTGTTTGTACAGGAACTTACAAAATCCACCTTAACATATCACATAGGTAAGGTTCGAATTAGCAGATAAATGTTATTTTTCCTGGCTTGCAGCTAAAGAAGTAAAAATGCCAAGATTTCTGAGGAAGGTTTAGAATAGGTCATGTACCTTAATAAGAAGGGACAAGTAGACACAGTGTATTCAGTTGTACCCTGACGAGATGACTGTATCATACATCAGTATACAACAAGAAAAAGATAAGTTTATTCTCTGATTTCCTTTCTTCCACTGTTGTTCACTTTTAAAGTCACTTACATATTCCTCATTTACAAGATTTACTATTCAAACTGGAAAAGAACAGAAGTAAACATAACCAACATTTTCTGTCAATCTCAGATGACTGCATCCAGGTAAAGAAGAATTACATACATTGTTATTTGCATGGACAGTCTTGTTCCAAATGACAATTCAAAGTAAAATACTTTAGTCAAATGAGCAACTAGCATGAGGAAGAGTAACTTCTGTTGAATGATGCATTCAGGCATCAACACTGAAGAACAGAATCGCCAAATGCGGTCTAGAAAACACTAAACTGGTATCAACTAGATAACAGTATTTCCAGCAGTCTCACAATGCATAATAAATCAACCAGAAGCACAGGGCCTTTTATCAACCAAAGAACACTAAAGCCATCATAGTTTGCTTGTCAAAGTTCGTGTGTTACTATTGCAATTACAGTTTGTGTTCTTCAGTCTCTCACACTGTAAAGAAATACAAGCGATGCAATGATACTAAACAGTTTCCACTCTGACAGTGGAAAAAAAAACACAGGTATTTTAAGCATGTGATACAGTACTGAAAAATAAGATAGATTATGCCAGGCTCAGAAGTATGCCTACTTACAGCCAATCCATCTCCTCCACTGCTTGAGCTATTTCAGGCATAACACCCATTTCTGTAAGGAAAAAAAGTAAAAGAAAATGCACATAACAGTGTTAGTTACCTCAACATAGCCCAAAATGAATAATTGATACTTGGAGATATGCAACCACAGACAGACATGATGAGGCATAATTTTTGGCAACAGTATATGCAACTTTCTCTGCAGAACCTGAGTGATGGATAAGAAACATTCTCCCTTCTCTGACCTACTTTTGGCAGTTCTCCCCAGCTTTAGTGGTCATGCAAAGAGCCAGGGAATCCTGGATCCTTTTCTCCAAGGGAAAGCAACTAACATACTAGCAAATAAAACACCCTGGGAGCTAAGTACTACTTCAAGAGAACATACTTTTCATGTTCGCAAATCTAAGAGAGCAGTCTAAACAAACAGCAGGACAGACTTTGTTTTTAATTGAGATCTTAAGTTTTTACAATCAAAATGCAAACAAAAAAAAAGAACTATGAATGAAAAAAGGACTTGGATGCTTAAGTTTCTTTTCACCAGAACTTTCCATACATAGCTATGGCAAGTATACTAACAAGAGAATGTTTTGATTTTGATACAATTAGTAATAACATCCAGCTCTGAAGGCTTATTTTCTTTGTTACAGTTTCTAGCAAACTCATCAAGATCTGATGCTCATACCTTAGTCACAAGTTAAAAATATGAAGTCACACAGAAAAGGTTGTAAGTCTATACACAAATTCTCACCCTCAAATTGTAACAGATAATAAAAAAAGCCAGCACCTATTTAACGACAATATTCCAACATCAAGAAAACTGATTGCTATCTTCCCAGGTCCGTAAAGTCATACTAAATCCATTAAATACCAATATACAGGTTCTTAAGGAAAGGTTTTATGTACTAGTCTTCACACTGTCACGTTGGCTTTCTTTGTGACATATATTTTTTCCCTGAAATATATATATAAATATACGTATATATATAAATACATATATACACATGTAAAACCACAGAATCACCAGGGTTGGAAAAGACCTCCAAGATCTAGTCCAACCACCCACCTACCACCAATATTTCCCCACTAAACCATAACCCTCAGTACAAGATCTAAATGTTTCTTGAACACCCCCAGTGACAGTGACTCAGTTACTTCTCTGGACAGTCTGTTCCAGTACCTGATCACTCCTTTGGAGAATAAATTTTTCCTAATATTCAACCTGATATCCAACCTGAACCTCCTCTGGTGCAAATTGAGACCATTCCTTCTTGTCTCTGTTGCCATACTGCTGTGATAAGACAAGGAGAAATGGTTTCAAACTGAAAGAGTGAAGAGAGTGAAGGTTTAGACTGGATCTAAGAAAAAAGGGTTTTTTTTTTTTTTTTTTGCTGTAAGGGTGGCGAGGCACTGAAGCAGGTTGTCCAGAGATGCAGCAGATGCTCTGTTCATGAACACATTAAAGGTCAGGCTGGACAGGGCTCTGAGCAACCTGATCTAGCTGCAGATGTCCCTGTTCATTGCATGGTGGTTGTACTAGGTGACCTTTAAAGGTCCATCTCAACTGAAATAACTATATTACATGTAATTAAAACAGCTATCAACAAAACTAGACAATTTTTCCTCAACTACACAACCCAAACAATCCTGTCTATCATCTACATTCATTTTCAGGTCAAAGGAAAGAATTACAATATTTTCTTGATGATGATGATGACGATGACATTCATTAGTATCATTCATTAGTTTCAGCTGAGAAATTATTATTTTCTACAGAGTGTCTGGTATGTTTGGGTTGTAGGAGAAAAATATTAACACACTGATGTTTGTAACTGTTGCTAAACAGTGTTGTACAGAGCCAATGTCATCCTAGTTTCCCAGTAGAGAAACCAGGAGGGGACAGAATCAAGACAGCAACTTAGACTGACCAAAGAAATACTCTGTACCATATGACATCCTGCAGAAGTTCTGAAGGGGGTTGAAGTTCACGTTGCTCTCTTCCACTTCTAGGGGAGTTAGTTGGGCATTGGTCAGGGTTTGGTAAGCAACTGCTTGTGCATCACCTACTATATACATGCTTATATATAAATAAATAAGCATTCTTACATATATATATGTATGTATGTATGAATACATATGTAATTGTAAATTATGTAAATATATGTAAATATATGTAAATATGAATGTTATATATATATGCATTCTTACATATATATCATATATGTCATAATTAATATCCTTTTCCTTTTATCCTTTTCCTTTTCTCTACCTTAGGAAATAGTTTTATCACAACCCATGAGAACCAGTGAGTTCTTCTGGTTTTTTTTTGCCTTTTGATTCTCTCCCCATTCCCAGTGGAATGGGAGGCAATGGGCAGCAATCCCATGTGTGGTGCTTAACCATCTGACATGTTAAACCATAACAACCATTTTAATGTCCAGTGTCAGGTCTGAAAGGTTGAAATAGCAGATCTGACCAGACTGTGTTAACACAGGGTGTTTTGGTAGTTTGATAATTGTTTGTCATAATGTTATTTTTTTCCCTGTTTATGGAGCTCCCTGAGTCTTCTCACAGAACTATACTGTGTAGCACCTTGCTTGCTATCTATTTTCCCTGTTGTTTTGTCCTTATGTGTGTATGTGTATGTGAGGGTGGAGAGGGGGAGAAAGGAAGGGAAAAGTCAACAAGACCAGTAAATGATTCTCCCTACTTCAGGAATAATCACAAGATGTCTTGGAAAGGTCCTCCAAGATCATCTAGTTCCAACCCACACCCCAAGCAGTGGTGCCAATCACTAAACCAGGCACTCGATCAGGTATCCCTGAATAACTTATGGTTTGCATGCATATTTTAATCCCTAACACAGAAGCTGATTTCTCCTATTAAAACTGTTAACTGACCACCGCAATACAAAGACCAGTTATTACAAGCTCTGTTGTAGAAGCCAATCAGCCTGAGGAATAAGCCTAGACTTTTAAGTAGCCCTAATTAGCCAGAGGCCTGCATACTACCTTCCCACTAAAATGCGCAAATTACCTTCACAGTAAACGTGCCTGAAGGCCTGCAAAAGCCCAGAAAGAGCACCTACGTCCCCACAGGCTTCTCGACCCGCAGTAAGGCACACACTACAGTGAGGGCAGAGCAGGCCCATACCACGCTGACAGTGCCAGCCAGCCCCACGTCGTGAGGAGACGGCGAACACCTGCCTCAAACCCCACAGGACGCCCCACAGGCAGCCCAAAGCCATGAGAGCTGCCCCAACTCTTCGTACCAGCGGTACGACCAACCAACCCCCGCCTGCCTCAGCTCCACGTACCCGAGAACGCCGCCATCTTCACGCCGCTTCCAGCCGCTCCTACCTATCCGCACTGCGCATGCGCGGCACTCGTCCGTTACTGTGTGGCTCCGGCTAGGAAGCAGGGAGCGCTGCCTGCACGGCCGGTTTTAAACGTTCCGCGTGGGTTTGGAATGAGGAGTCCGCTTTACGTGCATGCGCAGCGCTGTGATGTTGTGTCTGTGTAATTTTTGGAATAACGCAGCTGTGAGTTTTGTGTGTGTGAAAGTTTTTTTTTTGTTTGTTTACTTTTTTTTTTTTTTTTTCGGGGTAACGTTGAGAGAAGTTAAAGGCAAGAGGTAGTTGCTATTAAAATACAACTCGATTCTAAATGTAGAGCTTTTTTTTTTTTTTTTTTCTTCTCCCCCACCCTTATTGTGCAGCTTTCCCAACAGCAGCAGGTGCCCCTTCGGTGCCCTGCGGCCGCTCACGCAGTGGTGGCTGCTGCCCGTCTCCCCGCTGCGCGGCGCTGAAGGGGTTAAAGGCCACCTGCCGCGCGGAGCCGCCGGCGCCGCTGTTTTGGCCTCCGCCGGGCACCGTCGTCGCTGCGGCGGTGGGAGGGTCTGGGTTAGTATGGCTGCTGCCGGCAGGGAAGGGGATCCGAGGGCGGAGGGGATGGCGGCCGTCAACGAAGAGGAGGACGGGGAGGAGAACATTTTGTACGATCTGCTGGTTAATGCCGAGTGGCCTCCGGAAACCGAGTTGCAGGTGAGTGGCGGCGTGGCGGGGCTGCGGCGCGGGGGAGGGGAGCGGAGCGGAGCGGAGCGCAGCGGCCACGTCGGCGGCGCGGAGGGAGGCGGGAGGCGTCCCGCTGTGCTGGGGGCGGGCAGCGCGGCACGGGGTGCTGCGGGCAGCGAGCCTCGGGCATGGGGGGGGAAAGGGTAGCAGCAAGGGTGAGAGTATAGTGTGCCCTTGGGCATTCTTGTCTCTGTCCCGGTGTTGTGTCTTGTCTTTCTCGTCCCTTCGTTTCTGCGCTGTGATACGCTACCTGGGGTTCCTTGAAGTTTTTTTCGCTGTTTTTATATGAACAATACGTAACAGATTTTACCAGTGAATAGGCATGAAGAAAGGCATGATAAACTTCAGGCCTCATCTCCAGCAACAGCTGTGCTGAGAGTAGTGCAAACTGTGCCATTGCAAACAAGATCTTTACAGCTTTGAGGCAGCCCAGCTCCCCCTCCAGACCTGCAGGTCAGGGCGTTTGTATCTGAAATTTCAGCAGCGAGAAAAAAGGGAGAATTATGTCACTTTGTGCCTACAAGGCGTGCAAGTAGATGGCCAACCCTGAAAAATGGGAAAATGTTATTTTGTACTGTAACTTGTTTGTCTGGAGAAAAGAAGGCTGCGGGGTGACCTCATTGCAGCCTTTCAGTACCTAAAGGGAGCCTACAAACAGGAGGGAACCAACTCTTTGACAGGGTAGATAACTGCAGGACAAGGGGAAATGGTTTGAAGTTGAGGGAGGGAAGATTTAGGTTGGATGTCAGGGGAAGTTCTTTACAGAGAGAGTGGTGAGGTGCTGGAATAGGCCTCCCAGAGAGACTGCCCCATCCCTAGGGGTGTTCAGGGCCAATCTGGATGGAGCCCTGGGCAGCCTGATCTACTATTAAATGGGGATGTTGGTGGCCCTGCATGTGACAGGGGGGTTGGAGATTCATGATCCTTGAGGTCCCTTCCAACCCTGGCCATTCTGTGATTCTGTGATTCAGTTCTTCTCAATGGGTCATTGCAGTTGCTTAGGCAGTCTTTCATACTTTCCTTGTTTTCCCTGAAGTGTGGTGGTGGTTGACCAGGGATGGCTGCCAGCTGTCTGCCACACTGCTTTCTCATTCCCCCTCCTTAGCAAGGCATGGGGTAGAAAGTACAATGGTGAACTTGTAGGTTGAGATAAGGACAGTGAAATCACCAGTTACCTGTACTAGCCAAACAGTCTAGGGTAAGATTAGTTTAATTGAAAAATGATAACAGAGTAGGGCATTGATTACTAAAAAACATCTTAATCCTTCTCTCTTCTCAGGCTGTTTCAGTCTCAGCTCTTCTACATCTTCCTCATGGCCTTGAGCAATAGTGGTCAGTTCATAATGCTTTGTCTGGTTGTATTCTGCTCCTTCCTTCTCTTTTCCTGAACTAGTGAAGAGACATATTCTCTCCCAGCTGCTGTTGTGCACTAGTTTTTCCACTTCTTATATCTGCGGTTCCAGATGAGGGCCACAAAGATGATCCAGAAGACTGAGTACCTCTCTTACAAAGAAAGATTGAAAGAGCTGAGCTTGTTCAGCTGGGAGAAGAGAAGGATCGAGGGAGATCTTGTTGTAGCCTTCCAGTACAAAGAGCGGCTTATAAACAGGAGGGAGACTGGCTTTTTATATGGTCTGACAGTGATACGACGAGGGGGATGGCTTTTAACTAGAAGAAAAAAGATTTAGGTTAGATGTTAGGGGAAAATTCACTACTCAGAGAGTGGTGAGGCACTGGCACAGGCTGCCCAGAGAAGCTGTGTATGCCACATCCCTGGAGGCACTTGAGGCCGGGTTGGATGGGACCCTGGGCAGCCTGATCTGGTGGATGGCAGCTCTGACTATGGCAGGGAGTTGGAACTGGATGGTCTATAAGGTTCCTTGCAACCTAAGCCATTCTGTGAACTGACTGAAGAGAAGAGACTGGTAGAAAAATCAAAGCTACCTGTATTCAGTGAAGTGAATTCCTGTATTCATATGCAGTGCGTGACCTATTTCAGAAGTGAAAACAGAAGTAAAAAAAAAAAAAAAAAGTTGTAGGGAATATAGTCTAAAGACTATAGTAGCATATAATACAGTATGTATAAGCAATATTTGGAAAAGTTTTTTGAAAATGCTGTTTCTTAATCCAAAAATTTTAACAAGCTCATTTCCCTGAAAACAATTGCCACTCTCCCCAAGTACGAAGATAGCTTTAAGAAGTAGTTATAGCCCACTTCTTTACTGTAATACCTTGTTACTTCCTGATCAGTCAACCTGAATCTGGGAGGTTATCTATTAGTGCAGCTGTGTTGACTTCTAATGTACTGTGAGAAAACAGCCTGATTATTTCAAAGACTGTTTCTGGATTGCAGGCTTTGTGTAGAGAACTACTAATCTTTATTTTAATAGTTTAAATTTTTGAGTCCAAATATATTTTTAAACTTGCAAATACTCCTTTTTGTTTATGTGTCCTCCAGTATTTTGCTGCTGTAACTTGGAATAAGAGAGCTGAGTATCTGAGTTAACAAGTATATACTGTATACCGAAGGAAAGAAGTAATTTATTCATTCATTACCTACTATAGTACTCAATTTGTGATGCTCTAATGTTTTATGTAGAAAAATACAGGCGTGATGTTTTTTATTTTGCAAGTTTGTATGTGATGCCTCCCTTACTAATTGTCTTAATCTGGTTTTCCTACTTTCTTATTAGCAAATAACCGTACCTCTTTTTATAGGTAGGAATGTGCATCCTATGTTGTTTCATGTTTGATTTTTTTCTGTGTTTGGAGAATGCTATGCAAATGAAAGAAATTTGGTCCTTCCATCTACAAAAGTAGAGCAGAAGTGCTGGAAGGGCTATGTGAGACTATTGAGTAGTGTGGTGAACTGAATGGCTACACTGCCTAGTACAAATTGATGCTTAAAGTTTTACTTCAGTTGCTCTTTTTTAAAATGCATTTCTCAAACTTTAATAAGCAGTTTTAGTAGTTACATTTTAAGGCAGGTTGCTGAACACCAATTGCTTTTTCTGGGGATTACAGTTCAATATAGCATTCATATGACATAGAGTATTTTGTAATGTAATACCTTACAGGAGAATGTAGTCAGAAATCAGGTTTTTTTTGTTACTACCCGAAGACCACAGGAAAGCTGAATCAATAGGTAATTTGTAGTAAATTTTGTTTATTACACCATGACAGTGAAAATATTTGATTCTATAGTCTGTTTTAGCTTATACAGCTAAATTGCTGTATGAAGTTGCTAGTAATTGAGATACATAAGGAACTTGTAGGCTAGTAGGCAGCTTATGTTCAATCGCAGAAGGAATGCTTGAATGCAGTATATAAGTGATGAAGTATATCAGAGTTTGACCATTATTCTTATAATTGCAGCCGAGAGGCAACAGAAAACATGGTGCATCATTTATCATCACTAGAGCAATTACAGGTAAACATGATTTGCTTTTATGTTCATGAATCTTGAGAATGATATGTGAATTGCTTGTAAAATTTGCAATTTCTGCTCCTTAGAATGTCTAGTATAATGAAAATAGAGTGGAAGATTTGTTTTCAGAAAGGTGTTTTCTGTTTAGCAGTATTGCTTTGTGTTATTTGTGTATTATTTTTGTGAACTTTCTTGCCTCTATTAGCTTAGTGGGTCAAACTAGAAAAACATGCGTTTACGAAGCTTAGAAGTTCTCTTATATTTTGCAAAAAATGTTTTTTCCCTTAATCAGCTCTTGCTTTGGCTATTTGCTATTTATGGAATGAAGAGGAAAATTTACGTTGTCATCATTGCCAATTCAGCTCTTGATTTATGCAGTAATTAAGTTGCACTTTCATCTTTTGGCATTTATCTTAGAATTAATAAAAACATGTTTTTTTTTTTTTTTTTCTTTGAGATTTGCCTTTACTTAAATATTCATTAACCAAGAATAGAGACTTTTTCACCAGAAACATTTTCTTTTATGGGAATGTGTGAAATTCCATGTACAGTAAGCTGGAGAATGTCTTTAAACACCCAGAGATGTAATCCCTTCCCTTCTTTTCTTTTTTTGTAGGTCCTGCATTGCTTTTGCTTCGATATATCTGGTACAGGTAGGTTTGAACATAATAGTTAGTCTTGTTATTTGGCGATTTAATGTCTTCTTGATTTTGATGGAAAATTACTTTTAATGGCAGTAAAACTGAACATTGGTTAGAATATTGTCTTCATAAACTGAAGTTGAAAACACCTTTTTCATCTGAAACCTGTCTAGAAAATGAAAGTGTATACTAGTTTGACTGACTTATCAGAAGTCTAAATAAATTTGCAGTTGGATCATTTGGATCATCCTCTTTCAAAAAGGAAAGTATTTATCCTCCCCACTCCCAACTGAGCTACTGCAAGTGGAGTTGTTGTTTTTTAAGCTTTGATGATGATTATGATGGTGTGATAGGTTTTATGTCTATTGAAGTTATAACTCAAATTTCTTTTTTCTTTTTTAAATTCATAATGATTTCTAACTGTGTGAGCAATGCTCACACCTTTACAAAATTATCTTCTGATTAAAAAGCACTTAAATGATCCTATTTCAAAGATATATGTATTGGAATAAATACAGCATCCCTGGAGAATTGCAGCTCTATGGTTATACCACTCTCTTAACGCCCTTTGCATATACCAGATACCAATTCTCTCTTTTTAGGGGCATCCTACTGTTTTTGGGAATATAAAAAGGGACATTCATTTTTCATCCCTGTGAAACAGTACTGTAGATCTAAGTTAGCAGGCAATGTGACTTTCCCTGTTTCTGGTGTTCTAGTTTATTTTGTCTTTTTATTTGTGTTAATGGGCCCCATGCCATCACACAAGCCTAGTCACAAGGATTTTCTTTACACCAGTAGTCATATTAAAAGTCTGATTTCTAGTCTTTGAAACTAGTTGCCATTTTCTTACATGTAATAAATAAGGAAAGGAAGAATTGAAAAAGGCAGGTGAACATTAAACTTAGATCAGGTTTCTTAAGACTCTTTCTGTCTGCGCAGTCTGTTCCAGTGCTTTACTTCATGGTTAATTTTTTTTTTTTTACCTTATATCAGCTTCAGACCTCCTCTATTTTTACTGATCGATGTTTCTTGCACTTCTGCCATGCATCTCAATGGCTTTCCTTGGCAACCTTGTAGGTATCAGAGGGCTTTGGTAAGTCCTTTCTGAAGCCTTTTCCTCCCTGGGCTAAACAAGTACAATTCCTTCAGCCTTTCCTTATGGAGCAAGTACTTCAGTCCCTTGACCATCTTGGTTGTCCACCAGCTTATTGGTGTTCTCGTAACTTACTACTGATCATTCTGAAGATGTGGCTTTGATTCTGTTAATTCAGCTGATGATATTGTTAACCTTTGTCACTGGCAGTGTATGTTGATTATTCATACCTGTCTGCTAAAGTGTCCCGGATGGTTGATGTTTATCTTAAAACTACATCACCTGATGTGTGTATCTCAAGTACTGTTACGTGTATGTTCTGAATAAGGCTAATATTTTTCTTTTTTTTTTTTTTTTTCAGCCCTGCTAAGTTTTCTTTACCATCTGGACTGGTTCGTCTAGTTAATAAGCAGATCAACTGGCACTTAGTACTTTCAAGGTAACCAGCTTGCATACTTGTATGCTTTTCTGTTTTGGGTGGTAGTGAATGTACTGATGCTTTCCACCCTGCCCACATGGCAACAGCGCTGAGTTAATAACTAATTAAAGTAATGCTACTCTCTCCAGTTGAGAGAAATGCTGGAGGCTTTTGCAGGCAGCTTTGGGAAAAGAAAGGTCAGTCTGCTATCCAGGGGCTTTTAATGCATCTCTGATTCATGTCTGAATATTCTTTTAGCTTCGGAACTAAATAGCTTGCAGTGTGAATATGCTTCCAGCAGAAGGATTACAACTTGAGTTTCATCAGTTAGGGACTTAAAACTTGCAGGTTATGTAATAGGAATTGCTTATTTTAAAATTGGGGGAAGGGAATGCATACTGTCAAGATCCATCTGCTATTGTATGTATAGGGATGAGGTGAGAGTTCAAAGGTACAGTGGTTCTAAAGCAATTTTAGAAACAGCAGAGAAATCACTGGCTTAAAAAAAAATCATCAATGTGTACAGAAATCATAATTTAATAACGTGAAAGTAGCATGGAATATTTTAACTTATTTGTTATCATTAATTACTATCAGTGTAGAACAGAACAAGAGTTCTGTAAACAATACAGAACAGATGAGGATGGTGACTCCTTGAGGGAAGTGGAGATCTTTTTGATGTGCAGTATGCCAGTTCCAGTGATGAATGTAAGGTACAAAAGCCTGCTCCTAAGGAGATAACCTGACTTACTGATGTATGATGGCTGTTTATGCCAGATAAAGCAATGCATAGTTTTAGGTATTGCTGCTATAAATGGTAAGAAACATCTGATTTTGACCTTCCTTGCAGCAAGATTATAGGTTGTTATTATAACAGGACGTTATTTCTGTTTTCTTAGTGCTACTATTGAATACTGTGACAGAAATATTTCAGAGACGTGAAGGGAATTTTATTAAGATACTTCTTTGTTTAAGAGTTTGGGAAATTTGTATCTAACTGTGCAGAAATGCAGCTAAAGCTCTCATCAACATTTTGTGAGAACTGGGTTTTAACAGACTTTCATGCCTTTATTTTCCTCTTCAGCAATGGTAAACTGTTGGCAGTTGTGCAAGATCAGCGTGTAGAAATCAGGTAAGTTTAGATTGTGGTGTTTCATAACCACAATGGAGTTGTGGAGTTCTGAGACAGTGTTTCTACTGACTTGCTAACCAGAGTTTTAAGTACCTTTTTGTTCTTTTAGAATGCTGTATATGTTCTGAAATTAATTTACAGGATACTCTTAAAATATGTTATTACTTAGAAAGCAAAAGCCTTCTGTTTCTTAGTCTTGGTCACTTGTGATTTTAAAAACAAACAGTTCACACTCTCTGTCCCTCATTAGCAATGACAAAAGTTATAGATAAAAACTATCTGTATTTCCTTTTGTAGGGTGTTTTTTCTTAATTTATATATATATATTTTTAAGATGTATAAGAAAACTGTCAAGGTGTTTCAGACTACTATGCCCAATTTGTGGTCTCCTAGCCTTTGCCTTTCAATTCCCCTTTCAAGTCGTTATGTGAGAACAAAACTTCTCTTGTAAGAAGTGTGACAAGGAGATATTGTTCTACTTCTCTGTAGAATAGCTGGCTTTACCTTATATTACAAATAATATGAATTGCCATAAAGACTCGTGCTTTCCTTTTCCCTTCTGTTCCCTAACAACAAGCTTTCTTTTGCCAGTTCAAGAGCACATTTAGCTGTAGTACAGATCTTGATTGAGTGTGTTTACTTGCTTCACAAAAATCCATTTGCTAGAAGGTCAGACCTTCCATTTATATGTAAAAGAAGCAAGTGTATGAAAATTGTTCAATCAGAAGTGGAGTGAACACCATAAATGTCAACTTATAAACTACAGAATAAATCTTGTGTTTCAACTGTGTTATTATAACTATATTCTTGCTTTTTTTTTTTTTTTTTAAGTTTTAATTATCACCTAGAGAATACTGAATAGTTAAAGAAAAAAACTTCCTGCAGCATTTCAGAACCTCAGCATTTATTTTGAACAGCATTACTACTAAATGAGAATATTATTTCTTATAGTCTGGAAGTGGGGTTTCTAAAACAGTATTGTAACTGAGACTAGCTGCCTAAGGGTTGAAGGTTACTATCTGTCTTTTGAACAAGTACTTAAGTACACGCAGGCCTTTGAATTGCACACTTGTGGTACTTTTATAGCTTTTTGTTTACTCTGGAAAATGGAGTAAGTATAGGTGTTTGTTTGTTTGTTTGTTTTTTCTTTTTTCTTTCTTTTTTTAATTTAATATGTAATATTAATCATAAGATGTATTCTGCAGGTCTGCAAAAGATGATTTTGGATCCACAGTTGGAATATGCCAAGGTATAGAATACAGCAAATCCTACACTGTTACTTAATGTCATCGTTGTTGTTTATCCATGCATTGCTAAGTGGTAGTGTTGCTTTACTAACTTCTTAAAAACATTCAATGGAATCTCTTAATATTTTCAATTTTTTTATTAGCTCTGTTTCTTTCTGCACTGGTTCTCTTCGTTATAGTAAACATACAGTACCTGAAATGAAATGGTAGTTAAATTAATGGATTTTGGAGGCATAGTGGATGTTGAAGGCTTGCTTGTTTTTGTTTTCCTCCTACAAGGTAAATTTGTAATGATGATGGGGATGTCCTGCCATTTTTTTATATAGATAGGGTTGTTTTTTTATTTACTTAAGTGATTTTAGTTCACTTTTTCTTTCTGATCTCTACCTCCTGACATAGCAGATGCTACTTTCCAAAGAAAGTAGATCAGTGATGATCTGTCAGGAAATGACTGTCTTTAGGCTAGAGGCTCCAAACCATAGAAGTTACTCCTTAAAACTTTTTAATGTTCACTTAAATTGCTCTTTTAAATTATTTCTAATCAAATATGAATTTTTCTACCACATGAAAAAGTGCAGTGGGGTTCAATTGGCCTGATGGATCATAGGATCATAGAACCCTTAGAGTTGGAAGAGACCCTTAAAGGTCATCTAGTCCAACTCCCCTGCAATGAACGGGGAGTGTCCTTATAGATCTTTGAGTCCTGATACATACAGCCATGGAATAGGCTGTTTACAGTAAATTGCCATCTTCTTGCTGGTTGACCAGAGTGAGTACTTGTTTTGAGGAGGTAGTATACGCAGCTAATAAAACTGTTGCAAAATTGTGGTAACAAGATCTGCTATTAGCACAAATTTTGTGGTAACTGTAGACATAATTAAACAATTTTTTTTAATCTGTTTCTCTTACGTCTTTTGTTGCTTGTAGGGTGGGAAGAAAACTGATAACAATAAAATCTTTATGAGTGTTGGTTTATGCAAGGGGGAATACATGACCAAGGTAAAGACAGTTAGCAATGGCAGGCAGTGGATTAGGTCATTAGATTGTCCACTGCGGACATTTTTGTTGTGATTCACACTGTGGCCATTGACTAGTGAAGATCAGCTGAGTGTAGATGACAGTGCTGACAAGAAACTATTTCAAGTTTTAAGAATGTTTTTCCCTTTTTTCTAGTGCCAAAAGATCCTAACCCTCAGTGGAGGCGAGTTGCATGGAGTCACGACTGTACATTACTTGCTTATGCTGAAAGCACTGGAACAGTGAGAGTGTTTGACCTAATGGGTAGTGAGCTTTTGGTCATTTCACCGGTAAGTAGTCCTCAATTAAATTTTCATTTAGGACAACTTAAAATATGATGACCATGTACATAGGTACACTTCATAATGTTTATCGTATGATGGCTATATTATAGTTAATTAACATTAAGTTGTGTAGAATGTGCAAAGTGTGTCCTTTGTGCTCTTGTACTTAGTCAGAATGTTCATTTCTTTTGGCCAGAATTGTGTTAATTACAGTGGATTTTGGAAGTATAGGTTTAGTTTTAGTATAGATTTGTCTACTTAGTATGTGTGCGAATGATTAAGGTTTGTAATAGTAGATTGGAAATTGGCAGTTTATAGGCAGATTGAGTTAGAATCAAGAAAATATTGCTATTAGAGCAACATGAGATTTTTCTTTGTTTCTGCCTTCAGATGAGAGCATATAATTGCAATTGGCTTGCCTGGCAGAATGTATTTTGTGTTTTATGTATACAAGAGGAGAGTATTTCAAGTATGTTTCTTTAGTGTATTTCTGTATCTTTCTGGACATTATTTATAACATATTTTAAAATCAAGATTAAAGGAAGTGTAATTCGTTGCTAATACAAATCATGAAACTTTAGCTTTGTGGATACGTTTTTATAGAAGTAGTACATTTTATTTCCACAAAATAACCAAGGTGTGTGGTGGTTTTTTTTTTTTCTTCTTCTTCCTTCCTCTCTCTACCTTTCTTACTCTGCATCTGTCTACATTTTTGGGAAAAGACAGCAAGTTTTCCAGGAGATCTGAGTTATGCTATTGCTGGACTGATCTTTCTAGAATACAAAGCAAGTGCTCAATGGTCAGCTGAACTACTTGTCATTAATTATCGTGGAGAATTGAGAAGTTACCTTGTAAGGTAAGTTTTGTCTTACTTTGATAACTTTAAAACAATTCTTTCACTCTGTAAAGAACATAAATCTGCATTTATATATATATATTTTTTCTTCCCTATATTCAGTGTTGGAACAAATCAGAGCTTCCAAGAAAGTCATAGTTTCAGCTTTAGTAGCCATTATACCCATGGAATAAATACTGTCATTTACCATCCCGGTCACAGGTGAGTGTTCTGTTTGTTACCTTCCAATAACAGAAAAACGATGCAGAAAAGTGGTAAGATAAAGAAATGAAGTGTGCTGCATGTATTTAAAAAGGAGAGAAGGGGTGTCTATTTTAATATTAGTGTTTAATGAATTGGCAGTAACAAGTTGTTAATTGTGGTTTACTATATCTATGAAAGAAGTCCTAATAGGTGTTTATACTTTACTAAATTAGTTGTGTAGTGTGTACAAATACTAAGGGAAATACGCTTTCTTGAATGATAGTGGCACTGAGGCATTGGAACAAGTAGCGTCCAGCATGCTTGGGAACTCCAGAAGAATCCTTTATAGGCATGTTTAGGTTATCATGTCTGTAATACTAAAGAATATTCACTAGGATTAAGGTCTAAATAGGAATGTAATTTAAAGAGACGTTTTCTTTTTGCATGCTTTTTTAAAGCATTTTTTTCTTAACCAGTGAGGATTGTTTTTTCTTTCCTTCCCCAGCCAACCAAAAAAAACCCAAAAGCCAAAAACAAAACCAACACCAAAAAAACCAAGGCTTGACCTCAGAATCAATTTCTTTCAAGTGAACTTTTTTCTGTTAATTTGTAGTTAATTATAATACCAGTAGGAGAGAGTGAAACTATGAAGTCATGAGCTGTCTATCCCTTAATTTCAATTATTTCCAGTTTTTGGCAGATACATTCTTAATGCATGTCCTAGAGAACTCTCTCTGAAAGTCTTGCAGTATGGCTTTTTTTTAGTGAAACTGCAGTTTAGGTGTAGAGAAAACAGCAGGGAAAACATGACTGAGGTATTTTCCTTGGTAACCTGAGTCTGTTCATCTGTGTATTTTCATTCTTTGAGAACAATTGATTTCATTTATCAAATGTAGCACTTGGATTTAAGGAGAGAAAAATCAAGCTGTGTCTTTTACTGTTTGTCTCCCTTGTGCTAGCAGCATTTTTAGAGTGTCAGAAATAGCTTCAAGAGATGTTTCTGAATTTCATGTGGTTAAGAGCTGGAGTATAAGTTTTTGTTCTTTTCTCTCAGAATTTGATTTTGCACTTGGACAGCCTTTTTTCCCTTTCTGACTTTGGTATTTGGAGTTGTTTTGTGATGCTTTTTCTCTGTTAGTAACATATTGGGCACAGCTACCACATCTTCGGCTGCCATTCAGTCTGCCTCTACTTTTGAACCAGAAGTTGTTGGAATAGAGCCTAGTTAGGCAAGTACTGTGGTTGAAAATATAACTACCATTTTTATATCTCCTTGTTATGTATCAAGATAAATTCAGCAACTTTTCAATTATAAGAACTTTTGTAGTACAAGAAAAATATCTAGAACTGTTAGGATTGAATCAACCAGCCCAGGGTTACATCTCTGCATTGTTTCAAACTGAAATTGGTCTTGGCTATAGAATATTAGGAGAAACCTCACTGATTTAGAAACTCATTATTCTGTGTTAAATGAGCTGTCTAACCTACCTTTAGGAAAAACTGGTTATTGACAAGAACTAATGTTTTTCCAGCTTATTACTTTAAAAGATTAATTTTGAATGTAGTTACCTCTTTCCACCTCTTATCTAGTAATACCACATAGTTGATACTCAGTATACTAAACAGAGAGTTTGATATATAGGTTGTGGAGTTCTCTTAGCACTCTGACCAGACAACAGAATCAATTCATTCTTTTCTTGTTCAGACCAAGCTTAACGGTTCCTAACATATAGAGGATGTTTCAATAGGAATTATATCGGATTCTGTAGGAAGACTTGAAACAGTAGTTCTTGAGAAGAAGCATCTTGAGTTTCACTGCTGTTGAAAAATGTTAGGTGCTCTTTAGATGCTTGAATGTTTGCATTCTCCTATAGACTAGTCTTCATCTATGACAGAATTTACAGTGCTCTTTAGTTGATAAAACGTATGTTTTGTATGTGTCTGCTTTAGTGTGAGCTCTCTGTAGTGGGAGTTCCATCACCTTGCTTATTTTGTGTATCTTAGTTTTGAGTTGAATACCTACTACGGGGTTATCTGCAATTTCTACAGAAGATTTCTTTTTTTAGAGCCTAAAATGTGTGATAGCTATGTATGATAGCTATGAAGGCTTTAGATTCAGTTGAAACTTCTGATTTTTTTTTTTTTTTTGTACCAAAATTGATGAGTGAAGAGTTGTGGAGAAGTCTCAAGGTTTTTCTTGAATGCCTTAATCGAACTTGCTGTTCTTGAGACCAATAATATGCTAGTTATCTTTAGCCTAACTTTATAAAACCCTTGAAAACAGAGTACAGTTGAGATATGTAATGGCAGACAGCTTTTTGAGACTGAAAGGCCGTTTGCTGGACTTGCTCCAATATCATGTTCTTCAGTCTGCTATACCGGAGATGTTGGATCCTAACATCTGCTAGCCAGATGGGAAGCATCATTTCTCCCAACGTACTGACAGTGATTTTCCTCATGCAGTCTAAGGCCTCCTTTATTGCAAGGGCATGTTGATGGTTTGTGGTCATCTTGTTGTTTGGCAGGACTCCCCAAATGCTCTTTTGGAAAGCCATCTTCTGTCTCTTCTGTTCTGTCCAGTTAACATAGGCATATGTGGCTATTCCTCCCATGGTGCAGTCCTTGTGCTTTCCTTTTTTGAATTTCCTGAGATTTCTACTGGCCCGTCTCTCCAACTTACTGAGTTCACTCTGTTCATAGCACAGTCATCTGGTGTATCAACCCCTTGCCCAGTTCTGTCATCATATATTCTCTTTGAGGGCCTTACCGAGTTAAGTGTCAGTTATTAAATTAACATTGCTTTGTAGCTCATCAGGAGTGGCCTCAGCCTCTGGCTTGTGTAGGAAACCAAGGATTTACTGTGAAAAAATAGTGTTTCATATTTTTGGTGGTGAGGAAGTTGTTGGCATAGTACTTTCTTCAGATTGGAACTAACTTAAAAAGCCCCCCCCCCCCCCCCCCCCAAAAAAAAACACCATCAAGAAAACAAAAATCAACAACCTAGAAAAACCAACCCCTCTCCCATTGCAATTTCCAGCCTTCCTGTCAAGTCTTGTTATTTTGGAGTCATCTCCTGTCTAGTCTCGAAAAAATAATTGGTAAACAAGGCCAGATCTTTGAGCCTCTCAGGAGTACTTTTCATTTTCTTTAGATGCCAGTTGTGTTATTCATCTTAATAGTTTCTGCCCCCGCTGCTGCATTTTGCTCTCTGAAAAGCTTTTTAAAATTTTAAGTACCTGCTGTGATGATGAATTTCTTTGCAGTCCTGGGAGAAGGCGTTTTGTCTCGAGGTTGTGTGTTTTGTGTGTGTCTAAACTGATATGACATCTTAATTCCAGCTGTCATTGAGTTTTGTTTATCCTAAAAGATACTTTTGAATTATAAATATGTTGCACTGTGTGTGACAGTTTTTCCAAAATTTCTTTCAAAAGATTTATCTTGATGGAGTTTTTGAGAGCTAGTTCAGGCAGTTTTGGAGCCAGTGCTGTCACTATTATTGACAATTCTTCTCTTGGTCTTTCTGCTACTGTTTGTTTCTGAGTCACCTCTGGTACTGTGCAGTCAATTGTAATTGAATTTTAGTTACTGCTTTTACTGAACTTTTTTACTGAGTGGTGTGTTGCAGTAGAAGCTGGTTCTTATAGAAGAATGTAGATGCCTGTGGATGGACAGGACTACAGATAAATTAATTTTCCAGAGAATTATGCCTGCTGCCTTTTGGTTATTAAGAACTGACAGCTTAGCTGTGGTGATCTTATGAAAGAGATGCAGATGCATGTGAAACTTTCTTCCATGATTTAATAAGAAAGAAGGAGGGTGAGGAGAGTAGGAAATTTTTAAGGAATCATTTTATATGTGATGATTTTTGTAATATTGATTTTTGCCAACATCCTTCAGAGTTGTAAAATACAACTTTGTGTTCACTGATACTAGGCTGTGTGCTCAGATGTGAGTATGCCAGTGTGTTTATTCTTGGCCAGATAAAATAGTCATGGTCTATATCATGCACAACAGGGTAGATTGAATATTTTGTCCTAAAACTTACTAGAGCTGTAAGGAGGAATTTAGGAATTTCAGGTGGTACCATGTTTCAACTGAAGGGTTTTTTTTCCTGGGTGTTTTTTTTTTTTCCTTCCTTGTTTTTAGCTGAAGTTCTCCAGAAAAACTTTATCATGTCATGTTTTTGTATGAGTTGGGGGCAGTCCTTACTCTACTTGATGAGAGGCAGTGTGTCAGTCTGCAGTGGTGAAAGTGTAGGAAATGCGGGGAAGAGGGGAAACAAAGCTGTGCAGGAAAGAAATGAACGGATTAAGTGTATGACATTTAGTCTGTGAATTGTTCTCTTTTCAAAGGGCACTTTTCTTCAGTAATCAGTTTTAGTCTACCAGAAATACTCATCTCATATTGTACATGTCCATTAAATCAATACTCATTCTAGTGCCCTGAAGAGTAAGTTATAAAGAGATTTATTTAAATTGGGTGTCTTGTCATGAAATACACAGAGAGATTCTTCACTTTTGTGCCAGATACTATTCAGTTGTCTGGGCAGCTAAAATTAGATGTCTTTGTACAATAATATCAAATTACTGTTTGTTGTTTAGCAGGGCTGTAGCAGAGTTTTTTGTTAGCGAGATGCAGCATCACTTTTTATTTCTTAATTTATTTTGAAATTGATCGAAACAGTGGACGATTGCTATATGAGCTTCAGCCACCAGGTGGTAGAATATTTCAAGAGTAACTCACACTTTGATAGAGGAGCATTCTCTCGCCTCAACTTCTGGCTTTTTCAATCCATGCCTTTTTTTGCAGATACTTTGCTTTTTGACGGCTTGTTCAATAAATTGATGCTTCCAAACAGACGTAAACCTCTGTTCTTAATTTCTTTGTCAAAGTAACCATCAGTTAAATCTAAAACTGCCTGTTAATAAAGTCAAAGGGCTTAAAGGGAAAATGCTTTGATGTGCTTTAGATCTGGAAATGTTTTCAGTGGATCTTTATAGCACCTTCTGTGCACTGAAGTTGAAGAATTTTAAATATTCTACATTAACTGGAGGAAATACATTTACATGGGATGCTCTGAAAGTAATACCTCTTTTTTTATTGTGTTAGCCTGTGACATCAGAGGCAGATGTTGTTGGTATGGCAGTAGGGGTTGAATCTTCCCACCAGAATTCCATTAATGTTTTGTTGCTGTGTGAGAGATGGCATCAGAGGGGCAGGCTGACAAAATGGCATTTGACATGGAAGTGAATATAAACCAAAGATGTGTCACTGAATTCCTCCATGTGGAATTCATTGGAAATGAAATGTAGAAAATATTGTGCCTATGGACATTCATCAATCTCGCTGAACATTTATGGAGGTCGCACAGTGAGGTGCATTTCAGGAGTGATGACAGTGGGTCACCTTCACTGATGCAGATCCTTATGAGTGTGGCATGCAAGCTCTTGCTCATCACTGACAAAAATAGTGGTGACTGTTGAAGAACAGTGTTTTGTAGCTGAGAATTTCTCTATCAGATCGTATTATTGTGCTCTTTGTTGTGGTTTTTGTGGAAATAAGTAGGAGGCATTACTTTCAGAGTGACTTATGTAACTGATAATGTGACTTTAGAAAACAAGGTTGACATACCTCTTCCTGATGATTCTTTAATTAAAGGAGAAATAGCTTTAGTACCACTTACTACATCTCCATTTGTTCATACTTAAACTGAATGACTGGAATATTTCGTAAGCTTAAGTTGTTATTGATGTCATTCTTTCAGCGTAGCAGGGAACTGCAATTTATAACCATATATTTTATTTTAAATGGTGGGAGTTGTGCCTCGTTTGGGAAAAATAACACTGGTAATGGATGGAGATAAATAATACAAATAGCAGAAATTAATTAAAAATGAAAAAACTTGTCTGTGAATGAACATCCTGATGTTTAAATCTTGCTGGGACTATTATAATATACTGAAAGTTTGTTATTACTACAAGCAAACTGCAATAGTTCTGACTTAAAGTTAAAAAACAAACAAACGAAAACAATGGCACAACATTTATGTGGCAGTATATGAAACCAATAATACGCTTTTGTATATTTTGCAGACTTTTGCTTGTAGGAGGCTGTGAAACAGATGAAGATGGAGTATCTAAAGCAACTGCTTGTGGGATATCTGCTTGGAGAGTTCTATCAGGATCTCCCCATTATAAACAGGTTACTAGTTATGAAGATGATATTAAAACAGTAAGTGTATTTCCTCTTTTTAATTTTTTGGGGGAATGATTATTGTAATTAACAGAGGTATCTAATGTTCAGTATGCATCTTTCTGCTATTTTAAAGTTATGGTATGAATTTCTAATAATTTATCTCTTTCTCTCTAGTACATATAACTTTTTTTTCTGTGGCATGCTTTGAACTTCAAGTTTTTGATGATCTCTTTTCTGTGGTTTTCAAAAAACTCAAAAGTCAACAACAGAACAACAAAAACGCAAAACACAACCAATGTTCACTGTCAATTTAAAAAAAAATTGAAAAAGTAAATTCATTTTTATCTTTTTTTTTTAATTACTTTATAACAGAAGGCAGTATATCTGAGGTAAATGTTTCAGTTTATCTGATTCCTGACTTCATTTATTTCTAGTAAAAACGAATGTTTGATTTGGTAACAGCTATTATTTGCAAGTTCGCAAGGCAGTGGCACAAAGCTGTACTAGAGTAGGTTCAGACTGAATATTAGGAAAAATTTCTTTACTGCGAGATCGGCTGAACACTAGAATAGGTTTCCTAGGGAGGCGTTTGATGCCCCATCTCTGTCACTGTTCAAGAGGCATTGAACAATGGCATGCTCTAACTTTTGATTAGCCCTGAAGTGGTCAGCCATTTGGATTTGATGGTCTTTGTAGGTCCCTTCTGGCTGAACTATTCTATAAATAAATAAAGATATAGTGAAATGAATTTACATTATACTAGGACAAATTCCAGTATTTATTGTTGTATAAATATTAGTTATTATGAAACGAATTAATCTGTTCATTGTGAATAGCTAGTGCTTTTCTGCAATATGATACATACACAGTGAAACAGGCAAAGTTATTCTTGCTTTATTTTGAAATAGACAGCCTAAGAAAGTTTAAAGAATTCTGGAAAGATGTTTTAATACTTTAGATTTGACTTATTTCTTTGGTGCATAAAACAATGTATGAGATTCATTTCTTGGTATGTTTCTGTTCTTACAGGCGCAGAGAAGAGGATTATTAAGGATTATGAATTTAAGATTTTACAGCAGACGGGGAACAGAACAGGTATTAAGGTCTAGGTTTACCCTAGAAACGTATTCTACTAACATAATTGTCTGTTAATGACTGCCTGAGAGATGGATCTGAAAGGAGTTTTTAATTTATGCAACAAAAGAATTAATGTTTTTATGAAGCTTATAAAAAATAATAAGCTTTTAATTTTAAATGGAGTAGCTTCTCTGGATTTCTTGAAAATCCTATTAGTTCATCTGCTGAAGCTTGAATTTTGGGATTTCCAGCATGCTAGCAGGAACAAAGTCAGTGATGTAGAGCTCAGTTTTAAATACAAGCTTTCTTTCAAAGGGAAGGTGCAAAGAGCCACCCTAGTGCTTATTAATGAGTATAATAAACATAGCATCTTAGGTAGATGCTCCAAAAGAAGAGATTTGGTTTTGTCATTTTTTTTCCCAACGACATAGCTTGAGGGGAGGAAAAAAAAAAAATCAAAACCCAACCTTATGCACAATTCCACTCCTTTAAGAATATTAACAGAAATCCACTTAATTTACAGGCCTACGATTTTTGTACAGCAAACCATGAATAATTAATGTAAATTTAGATAGGGAAAACAGACTCTTTTTTTACTCTATGGGAACAGATAATATGGAAAGGTTTTCCTAAACAGCTCTAAGTGTTTAAGATGAGTCAAACTTATACCATGAGGGTGCATGTGAAAATAGCAAAACTGAATCACGGAATCACAGAATGGCCAGGGTTGGAAGGAACCTCAAGGATCATGAATCTCCAACCCCCCTGTCACATGCAG